ATTTGATTGTGTTCAATCTGCTTAAATATATGTACAATTTAAGTTTACTTAATCCGTTTGTGTTTGCTTACATGATTGATTTGTGTTGCATTAACTGAAGCTGGGCAGTGCTTGTTAGTTCCCAGCATTCTTTGCATATGGTGGAATTAAGAGAGAATACATGTTCAAATTTAGTGTTATTTTATGTGTTTTTAAGAAAATGAGAAAAGGGGAAGACTTGGTAGTGTGTAATTGTGTTTAATGTTCAATTTGTCACAGTGTTGGGTTTGTGTTCACCAGGTGTCCACTAGATGTCCTCCTTCCCCACGGTGTCATTCACTTATGAACTACATTTCCCACGATCCTTGTCTTATCATTGCACTCAGCTGTTCCTCATCAGTGATCATTGCACTCAGCCATTTCCCCATTATCGTTGACTATTCCCTGTATAACCCAGTCTGTTTCAGTGTGTTTTACGGAATCCTTGTATTTTGTGTCACACCACTTCTGGTCTGTGTTTAGTTCCTAGATTCAGTTTGTTTATTTGTTTTGACGGCTTCTATTGGTTTGACCCTGCATGTGTGACTACGAGTTTGGATTATCCTCTAAAATACTGCTTTTGGATTTAACCCGTTTCCTGTGTGTGGATCGTGACACAATTACATTGCAATTATTGAACCATTTAAATTACAGTGGGTTACTTACCATTGTGGAGAAGAGTAAAGCATTTTGTTAGGCTGAAGACTGATTCAGAAGTATTCACAGCTTATGCTTTGCCAGATGAAAGATGCTTAAAAGTGCTATATGTAGCTAATAGATGAGTATAGTCTAGAAATTGAATATGTGTGACACTAAAATGCATATAGCATTGGATGGATGAATATATTAATTTGAATAACTGAATCATATGAGGGAGCCCGTTTAAAATTCACTGACACAATTTAATTAGGCTGTGCCCAATTATAGTAAATAAGTTGAATCAGTTGCCCTTTTTTGATCTGGATCAGTCTTGTACAGTTAGTTCGTGTGAATACACAGGACACAGTACACATGCTCTGAAATAGCCAAGGTCACAAATATCCTTGGACAGGACCTGTTTCCATTGATGGAGAATTTTTATTATTATTGAGTTATTGAGTGAGGGAACGAAAAGTTTCTTGGATGAACGCAAACTCATTCGAGGGAAATGCAAAAGATTTGAAAAAATAATTCTCCCATCCCAAATTTTTTCCACCAGCATGCCCCTTCGTAACATCCTGATTATTTGATAATGGTGAAATATCTATATCATTGCTATGGCCCCTTTCTCTAACCCATAAAAAAATGACTGGCAAATATCCTTCTGTATTGATATGATCATCTGATGAGTGGCAGACAAACTGGTGTCTTGAAAAGGAAAGATCATGAAACTGTATGAAGACTGTAGACACAAACAACAGGCTTTTCAGCTCCTGTTCAAAACTTATATGTATTTATATACACTCAACTACAGGATTATTAGGGACACATTATTGGGATTATTTCATGCACAACCATTTCTAGGGTTTACAAAGAATGGTGTGAAAAGGGAAAAACATTCAGTATGAGGCATTCCTGAGGCCGAAAATGCCTTGTTGATGCTAGAGGTCAGAGGAGAATAGGCCGACTGATTCAAGCTGATAGAAGTAATTTACAGCTAGTAATATACAGGATTTTTACTGTTTACTGTTACAATTAAGTACTATATTATACAGTAGTAGTGCTACTGTGATTATAGTTGCTGTCAAGGCGAGGGGTGATTATAATGTAACTGAAGTTTATTGTGAACAGAAGCACAGAAACCAGCAGATACAGTAAATGGTGAGTTGAACAGAATGAAGAGAATGGAATGGAACTTAGCTGAAGAATAACAGTTTTGTCCTTCACAGGTAGAGAACTAGAAGAGCCCTGATGGCAGATGTGGATAAGAGTCAATGATGATGATAGCAGGTTCAAGGAACGGGATCGGAAAGCAAGGATGGCAGGTAAGTGGAACATGTAAGGATCGAGGTACATTCTGCGGGTCCATGGAAAGACGAGATCAGACAATGAAGAGTGGTGCAAGTTAATGTATATAGTGAACAGGTGATGAGGTACAGGTGTGGTGATTTGTAATCAGGGGAGAGTGAACGAGTCTAGTGGAGCCATGACAGTAGCGTTATTACAGTAAAATGCTGTAAATTAAATATTCCAACTAAGTTGCCAGGAATTTCATGCAATTTCACAGGACAGAATTACAATTTAATAATATAATTCAATAAACTGTATATATCCTGTTATTTGAGAATATTACAATAAAATACTGTAATTTCCCATATTAGCCAATTAAAAAACACAACAATGGTAAAAAGAAATTGTTATTATGGTGAACTGTTTAGTTGGGCAGTTTGACTCTTGACTTCGTATGTGGATTTGTGGTCTTTGTAATAGTGATTTCCAAAATACATTATTTTTGTGTATATAGGTCTATAGTTTACAACATAATAAAGTACAAAACAATGACTAAAAGTGGTGATTTGTTATTAGTAGATTTTTTTCAACAAAATGATGTTCTTTATACAGTTCAGACATCAAGCTGATATTTTTTTTATATTGGGAATATAATCTTTGGACACGCACACAGACATCAATAATTCACATATGAATCTCAACAATGGTAAAAGCACATACAGATCCTTTGAGACTTTACTGATTCTTGGGACGGTCCTGTTCTAATACATGAGAATGTACAAACATCTTCCTGAATTGAGATGCTCATCTGATGAGTGGCAGACACACAAACTGGTGTCTTGAGATGGAAATATCATGTTCATGAAACTGTATGAAGACTGTAGACCTGATGAAAACAAAGATAAAAAAAAACAGTCAAGTCAAGCACAAAAAAAAAACGTTTCAGCTCTGCTTTGCAATTCAAAATTACCATAATTTATAATAAAAATAACACTATTACATGTAAATAAGTCATTTTAAACTTTTGTTTTACAATTTGTTATGTTTTGCAGCAGTTAGGGGGCCAGAAATAGATAAGCCAGTGAACATACATGATGGAGATGTGTAGGAGGGTGTCATGATGAACTGACTTACACAGTAAGTTATTGTGTCTCTGTCAAAGTGAGAGATCATCCTCATCTGTGCAGATCATAGTAATAGTAAGAAAACATATCACAAGAACTTTAACTTCTCAAACCAGGAAAGATATAGGAGCTCAATGATAACCTGTGATGTGCTAAATACTTACATCCTCCTTATGTGATCCAGAGATGATCTTCTGCCTCAATTTCCTGTCAAAATGATATAGAATTTGGAGAACAGAATGTCTCTTAAAACACACTTTTCAAACAAGTTTACTTCATTCAACCATTAACAATTTAATGTGATGGAATTTCCATTTTAAAAATGGATGACAACACTGCTTTGCTAAGGTTAATAGCACTTTTGAAATTGATATTTGGAAACACTTTAGATAGAATAATGGTCTGTCATTAATAAGTAATGTATGCAGGAAGTAATGCAGGACTAATGAGTAGTATTACATTAACACTTCAGCTATATTCAGCAATTTTGAAACAAGCTTAACTAATCAGTAAGTAATATCAAATTTAGGAGATAGTTCCTTATTAGGTGATCAATAATTATTTAATGAGATAAGCCTCATTATTAACTATTAACTAACTGGCAAATTATAAATAACATTATTGTGTAAAAAATATCTTGGTACTAATTTGAATTAGCTTTTTCTTGTTGACTCAACTTTTGTAAATAAAAGTTGAACTGAAAATGAGTGGAGTCAACTTGACATTATTTGTTTTCTGGAGAGATGCAACTATTCTGTAGTTGAGTCAATTCAACCGTTTTGTCTATTGGAATAGTTTGAAAATAACTTTTGCCGAAAAAGCTGGCTATTTATAGGCTAGGCTATTTAGACATGGCCTACAACACAAAAAGTAGCAAATCGTAAACATTCGGAAAAAAAAAAAATAAAGAAGGAAGTAGTTCATCATTCTGTTTAGCTGTTGAGAAGCTGGAACATATCACTGTTGCTGAAGTTAAGAAATGTTGATTAAAAAATCAGTGTGTCTCACCTGTGAATGCAGAAGCAGATGGTGATTATCAAAAAAAACATAATAACCCCAGAACATGAGATGATGATGATGGTGTAGTAGAGAGGCTTTTGTTTGGGTGATGCTGGTCTGTTTTCTGACACACAAAAGAGTCAAACAAACATGATATCGGTAAACCAGCACTTAGATGATCACTTGTTAAAAACATACTTATATTTCTTATTTAATAAATATCCTTTAATTGTTTTAATTTTTTTTAGAAAACAAATCAGATAAATGAAATCATGGAATAACCTGTTATTGTTAATGTCCATCTTATTGCTGCTGGATAGCAGGTGTAGTTTCCTGCATCAGACGCTTGTATTTGATGTATTTTTAAATCTTTTGAAACAGCTGGATTGATGTGAATCCTGTTTGAGCTGAAGTTTATCATAGATCTGTTATTGGTCGAGTCATAACTAAAAATAATAGAGCTGTTAATTTTCCATGTGAAATCGTCATCAAATGGGGTTTTGTTGCAGTGAAGTGTAACTGTTTCCCCCACAAACACTGTTTTCTTGATGTGCTGCCGAAGCCTTTGCTCTTGATTTGATTTGGAATAATCTAACAAAAAGACAGAAAATCAAACAACTACTAAGGCTTACAATGCATTTGAAAAATACAACCCTGAAAGGAAAACTTGTGAAAAGAGTTTCACTGTTATCATGCAGTAGAAAAACTTGAGACACACAACACTGTTCATATGGTGCTTAATCTTTAAAACCTTATTTAAACACACACACATTAGGAAACAACTTTTCCACTAAATTGTAAAATGTTAAATAATAATATTATTTAGTCGTCAAACTATGTTGGGCTTTTTACCAACATGCAGAGGCTACAGTTTTGAGACGCCAGAAAATAAGTAAGGAGAGGAAAGAAATCTTGATCTTAAATCAGTACCTGTGTAAGTCAGCAGAATCATGATGACACAGAGATCTAGTTGAAGATTTCTGGTTTGAAAATTTGCCATTACAGTTTAAGGGCTGTGAAAGAGTATAAACTGTCTTACTGTCCGTATCGTAAAGGCTTGTAGACGTGTAGAGACTGAACTAAAGGAAGAGGTGAAGACAGAAGGCAATGACTAAGACAGCTGATAAGATACTTAATTAAAGAATATATATTTATATATATTTTTGAATTAGAATAATTAATAAACATGTAAATCCAAACACAGGTCACCTAATACAATGTTAACATATACAGTATTTATATAATGGATGGTAAATAAATATAATCGGATTTGTTTTGTGCTCTTGTTTGGAGTGACCTGTGAAACTAGAGCTTATTTTCCACAAAGCAGAACCGTCACATCCTGTCACTGTCTACCGTGTTTACTAAATAGCTCACGCTTGTACATGTTCTAGTACTTTGTGTTTACTTATTTTTTTTATTTATCTATTTTTCTTTTTTATGTTATATTTCTGCTCTGGCTCTGCTCTTACTCTTGAAACGGAGGATTGCTCTGCTTTTTGTACCGCAAATAGCTCTGCAGATTTTATCAAAGCTTTGCTCAATTGACATCTAACATGTCTTTACCCTTGTCAAAACAAAATTTACAACCTAATCAATACTGGTCATAACTTTTCGTAACATAAACCGTAGGTTTGTCTAATTTGAATCTGACTAGATTTTGCACTACTTCTGAAGAAACAGTCTTAACAGAAGTTAAAATTGAGACTAAGTTTATGCAATGGCCACTTGTCTGAATAATTGTCCAGAGATGTGATAATTGTAGAAGCAAATGAAAAGCCTGTATTATTTGAATATTTTATGTGAACCAAGCTCTGTTTGTCTGTTTAACCAAAACCTTTCAGCTTTTGTCTGTTTTTCTGTTTAATCAAAACCTTTCAATTGTGATCATGTTACTGATGTGACTTTAATCACATCTTTATCGTTTGGTTTGGTGTCAGTTTATGAAGTAATATTACAGTACACATAATATTAATAAGCACAATTTTTGCAACATTGGGAAGCCCAAAGATTTGACCAATACAAAAACAATTTTTTTTTTGTAGATAAATATAAACATCCATGCAGCCCATTTTAACTTATTTTAAAAGAAGAAGAAACAGACGTCTTGTGGCTAAAATCTTGCAGTATTTAAATGTATAACATTAACTTGTTTTCTGTAGTGCAGGAGTCACGTTTCTCTATAACAGTTAAGCAGGAAGCATGTTTGTGTGGCCGGAAAAACTAACCACACAAAGGTGACTGCTTAAAATGTTCCTAAGACCAAGAACACTTCACAATCGTTTCCTATGACCAAGAACACTTCACAATCATCACAGATAAAACAAAAACATATCACAGTCTGAGGACCTTCAAACTTGAATCCAAACAATAAGATAATAAAATAATTTATACTACAATCAATGTTTCATATTGCCATATATTTTTTTAGCATGTCTGTGTAGCATGTTGTGCTCATTAGTACGGTTCGATGGACTTTTTAATTCCATAATGAGCATCTGACTGAATATACTTATTTACATATTTTGACTTGCAACATACACTCACCGGCCACTTTATTAGGTACCCCATGCTAGTAACGGGTTGGACCCCCTTTTGCCTTCAGAACTGCCTCAATTCTTCATGGCATAGATTCAACAAGGTGCTGGAAGCATTCCTCAGGGAGTTTGGTCCATATTGACATGATGGCATCACACAGTTGCCGCAGATTTGTCGGCTGCACATCCATGATGCGAATCTCCCGTTCCACCACATCCCAAAGATGCTCCATTGGATTGAGATCTGGTGACTGTGGAGGCCATTTGAGTACAGCGAACTCATTGTCATGTTCAAGAAACCAGTCTGAGATGATTCCAGCTTTATGACATGGCGCATTATCCTGCTGAAAGTAGCCATCAGAAGTTGAGTACATTGTGGTCATAAAGGGATGGACATGGTCAGCAACAATACTCAGGTAGGCTGTGGCGTTGCAACGATGCTCAATTGGTACCAAGGGGCCCAAAGAGTGCCAAGAAAATATTCCCCACACCATGACACCACCACCACCAGCCTGAACCGTTGATACAAGGCAGGATGGATCCATGCTTTCATGTTGTAGACGCCAAATTCTGACCCTACCATCCGAATGTCGCAGCAGAAATCGAGACTCATCAGACCAGGCAACGTTTTTCCAATCTTCTATTGTCCAATTTCGATGAGCTTGTGCAAATTGTAGCCTCAGTTTCCTGTTATTAGCTGAAAGGAGTGGCACCCGGTGTGGTCTTCTGCTGCTGTAGCCCATCTGCCTCAAAGTTCGACGTACTGTGCGTTCAGAGATGCTCTTCTGCCCACCTTGGTTGTAACGGGTGGTTATTTGAGTCACTGTTGCCCTTCTATCAGCTCGAACCAGTCTGGCCATTCTCCTCTGACCTCTGGCATCAACAAGGCATTTCCGCCCACAGAACTGCCGCTCACTGGATGTTTTTTCTTTTTCGGACCATTCTCTGTAAACCCTAGAGATGGTTGTGCGTGAAAATCCCAGTAGATTAGCAGTTTCTGAAATACTCAGACCAGCCCTTCTGGCATCAACAATCATGCCACGTTCAAAGTCACTCAAATCACCTTTCTTCCCCATACTGATGCTCGGTTTGAACTGCAGGAGATTGTCTTGACCATGTCTACATGCCTAAATGCACTGAGTTGCCGCCATGTGATGGGTTGCTTAGAAATTAAGTGTTAACGAGCAGTTGGACAGGTGTACCTAATAAAGTGGCCGGTGAGTGTATTTTGAAGGTTACACTGACTCATAAGGTGAAGGGAAAGGAATAATGTCTTGGATGTTATCCAAGATGTTATCCATATCCATATCCATATCCAACAGACCAGCATAACACAATGAAAGACCACATATCTTTCATAAGGACATTTTCATCTCTTGAAAAATCAGTATGGATAACTAATTTCCTCATGAATAATGTTTAATAAGTCTTGTTTAATCTCGACTTGTCCAAAGGTGCACGTGGCAAAAATGACATGATTGTAACAGCGCATGCGCCTCCACATTCCCCTAGACACCATTTACTACACACAACAGGCTTTTTGCTCTGATTTTGAAAACTCTTTGTGATCGACTTAAAATGCTTCCAAGACTGACATGTCGACCGCGATCGACAGGTTAGTGATTCCTGTAACATACTGTTTTACGGTCAATGACAAGAGTACTAATCAGCTGTCTCACGAACGTAACCAGCACATTTCTCCCCACATAGCAAAACCATAACACAGCGAGGGAGAAGAACTAAGTTACATGAAACAATCAAACACCACTGACAAGGAAGAAGTCACTACCCACAGTGTTTATGGCTAGCGTAGGTTTCTGCGGCTTCTCTTCACGAAACGCGCTCTGTAGAGCTGTTTATTCGATGTCTGCGGTAGATGTCACAATATGTCAACCTTCATTGGAGGGGGTGCCCGTGGTTAAGTAGATATAAATGTCTCATTCTAAGGTAATAAAAACACTACGGTTAATTAAGTAAGTTCTTTATACACCACTGAAAACAGTTATGGATGTTATATTGCATTTCTGTATACTCGAAATTTTACACATTGCACCTTTAACTGTTCCTTTTTTTAAACATATGCCTACTTCAACTTTCAAGAAAGCTTGTGGTAACAAGTGGTAACAGTGGTGTGGTAAAAAATATATAAATAATTCTAACACTATTATTAAAATAGTATGTGATTTTCTTGCATTGTTTAGCTCAAAATTTAATAACTAATAATGTTTTTTTTTCAACGATTCCTTATATTTTAGAGAATAAGTTTTACACATAAAGGCATTTTGAGTAGCTAATATTAATGATCTTTCACACAATGGGACCTTAATTTAATAATAGGCCTACTAATAAAACATATTTACTCAAACAAGCAAACATAGGCCGTACAAAGGGGAACATATGCCCTATAAGCTATGAAGGAAATTAAAATTTCAGCCGTAAATTAATGCTCAGCATTCAAAATGAAACCAACAGCGAAGGAATTGCCTATTTGCATTTTGAATTACGATTGGTCTATTTTTTACTATCAATTTACATAGGCCTAATGATTTGTGAATACGATTGCTTTTTCTTTGTTCCATTTATTTTCATACTAATTTGTAACTGTAATTGTTTTTATTTCTTTGTCTTACACATTGGATGCAGAAGCTTTCTTTTTTCCCCACCAACTTTTCTAACCATCATTTGACATTTGACATTGCTTGGCTTCCCATAGGCTAATTAATTTGCAAGTTAAATGGACAAATATAAAAGGGTAGGCTACTCTTGGACGCAAGCTCTTGCAGTTTGAGTCGGTAACTCTCAGAGGAGTGTGTGCATTTGAGTGTGTGCTCTTTATCTGGATCTGCTCCACGGCTTTCCACGGGCCACGTCACGGAGGGGGAAGAAACAGATTCCTGAGCTCTGCCTCTGCTCGAGTTTCCTGCGATCACATCCTCAGCTCCACTACAGCGGACCAGACGCAGCGCTTTCCCCACTACAACACACTAAACCGGCTTTTCTTACAAAAATGGTGAGAAACCTGGACACTATTTACAACCCTTTACACCGTTTAAACAACTTGTGTTGTATTGCTTTGAACGCTTTCTCTGTTTGTAATGTATTTTCCTCTCTCCGCCCGTTACAGATGTTTCGATGTTTCCCCGTGCTTTTCCTCCTGGCTGTGGTGTACTGTCATGCCGAGGTAAGTTAGGCTATATGAATCGGCTACCGCATTCATTAGTTCGTCTTTTGAAGAAAAAAAAAATGTTTATGGGGAAACCGGATTACAATGTCTCTGAAATCCAACTTGCACCAAATGAACTGTCGGAAAAAAACTACCGGTCCGGTCAACTACCTACATTAACTTAACAAAAGAAGGCTGTGAGCTATTGTGTTAAAGCTGAACTCAGTATTTATTTATTTATTTGTTTATTTTTTTGCTAATTATAAAAGTTTTAAACATAATAGACAACATGTTTAAATGTTTTTTTTTTTTTGTATTCATGGAGCGGGTCGCCACCTCATGGGCGGTGTCATGTTGACATCACCAGTTGTGCATTTGACTAATAATATTACTGTTACCACCAGTGCTGGGAATATAACTTACAAATTAACTTGTATTTGTATAACTTACAAATACAAATTGTTGGTTACTATCATTGTCCATCATTGATTTTTCAATCAGCAATGAATTACCAATTACCAATGAATTATGAATAATTTACTGCTCTTGTGAGAATAATCAATAAAAAATGAATTGTTCTCTGATTACGAGTATTTTAAAATGTAATGTAATATAAATGAATTACAACAAGTGTTTCATTTTTGGAAATTTAAATACATAACCCAGATTACATGCAATCAGTTACTCTACCCAGCCATTTCTACAAGAAATGTTTATTATTGTATGTAGTTTTGATGTGAAGTGGCAGCAGTTTGTAAACAAACATTCATGAATGCAAAAAAAAAAAAAAAAAAAACTAAACTTACCCATCAAAACTGACCCATAAGAACCAATTCCTTTCACCATGTCTCACGACTTTTATTTATTTGTTTTTATTATGATTTATCAAATTTAACCTAAAAATACATTACATCTGACCAGATTTAGCATGATTTAAAATGTTTACCGCATTGAATGACTAAATATCTAAAGTGTATTAAGGAGTTGTTTCTAAAGAATGTTGGACCCGCTGAGATGTCTAGATGCATCTGTCACAAAACACACATTTACATCACCTGGTTTGTGTTTGTGTGGTTAATGAACTTTGTGTGTGGTGAGAGTGTGCGTGGTGGTCTTTACTTTGGGAATTGAGCTGTAAACAGACAGCTGTTAAAACCAATCAGATAATAACATGTTAGGTGGTGTTTGGCTAGTGTGTTTACATTGATTTCAGTGCTGAGATGCAGCTGCTGATGTGGGCCATATGTTGTCTTTGTTAGTGTTGTGTTAATTGTGTTCTTAGGCTCTGTAGTGCAATAACAACCTGCCAGGTGAGCTGCATTTAAGCCACACAACAACAGGAACCCACCACATGCAAATGCAAACATTCTTGCCCTATATTTTAATTTATATGCACTGTGAAAATTACCTAAGAATACATTTTTTTTTTCTTGAAATCCAAGATTAGGCCTTCATTTATATTTTACTTCTTGTGTACTGAAACAAACAACACATTTTGGTGAAAGTTGTCCCCTGTGTCAATGACACATGCATCAAGAATGTTCTTCCTGTGTAATACGTCTGCCATTTCTCAAACAAGCACACATACATTGTGCTGAAAACAAAGTGGTTTTAGTTTTAAAAATGTATTGAAGCATTATTTTTTAATTTGAATTGAGATTACATATGTAGTTAGAGCATGCTATTGTATGGCAGAATGATGTGCAAGTAATTTCATGCTGACAGGCTTGAGAAGACAACCCTTAAGCTAAAAGAACAGCACCTCATAATGGGTGTCATGCAACCCGCATGATTCTTCCCTCCGCTATTCACGCAGCTCATGCTGTGGTTTGTCTGTTTCTTGTATCTCACTCGGTGGGAGCTTTGGATCTGTCAGAGCTTGTGTTCCTTAAAGGCATGATGTGCTGCTTACATAGACAAGCTCTTAAATAGTGTCACCCCAAATTAAAACACACTGAATTTCCTACTCCTACAAATATAGTTTGCGCTAGGAGGATTTTGTAGTTGGTTGATAGAGCTTTCACATTGTAACTGTAAATGAATGGATTTGTGTGAGTGTGTTTGTGCATTTATACAGTATTGGAGTCCAAGACAAAGAAAGTGTATCTTCTTCCATTGTTTGTGATTATATGTTTTCATATAGACTGATCACAATTCCGACAATTTTTTCATTGATCTTGAATCTTCCCTATTAATTCCACTCCACATGGATGTACAGTATAAAGACGAGAAAAAACCAGCTACAATATAAATCTAACATTTGAGCCAAAAAAAGTATATGAAAATTTGAATAAAAATGAAAGACTGTTTAGACAAATTATTTAATATTCAGAATTAATTTCTTATGCCATAAAATCAAATAACTTAAAAACTGGCATCCACAGAAGTTTATATCACTGCATAACAATAGTATTGTGGCAGGTCCTGAACTGAAAGGTTTGCACATTATTATTATCAAACAATTGTATGGAGAAATATGAATTGGTTTTTATGTTCATATCACTACTGTTACACTAACTCTATCGGATGTTTTATAATAGGTAGTCAGCAAGACAAATGGAATCATTAAAGGGATAATTCTCCCAAAAAATTTAAATTCTACCATCATTTATTGTACCATTTCAAGTCTGCGTGACTTTTATTCGTCAGTGGAAAAAAAATGATTATGAAGTTATTATGAAAAAGTTATTATGAAGAATGTTGGTCACAAAGCAGTCTTGCTTTCCATTGACTTTGATTGTACAAAATATAACACCTGAAAGTCATACTGTTCTAGAAAGACATGAATGTGCATAAATTATGACATAATTATTGTGGGGGGTTCTTCTTTAAAAAAAGAAAAAAACCCAAAAGAAAGTATCTTATCCTCAGTCGCTCTCTGATTTTCTGTTGTTTACAGGATACAGAAAATACTGTAGAAGAAAACACTGTTCAGACTATGAAACATTATCACACACACATGCACAAACACATTATCACAAACTGTGGAGAAGAAAGACTTTCAGCTCTTCTCATGGCACTGTTTTCTCTACACGGCTAAACGTAGCAGAGGCAGGATAATGCAGTTACCTAAATCCCTTCCTATAATCAAAAACTGAGCTCTAAGAATTTTGTGTTGCTTTCTACGTGCGTTTCTCTGCTGCCTTACAGCAGGTGAATCGACTGCGCTTTAAACCCTGATAAAAATAGAAGTTACCGAGGGGAAAAAGAAAATGAGGGAGAGAGAGAGAGTGAGTGAGGTAGGGGGAAAGAGAGGTGTATTAGAGAAAGAAGGCACTGTCAGGGTCACAGTGTCCTGTCTGCTGATCTTTACTGAGAGTAATCATCCTCTGTGATTTCAACTATACATGGAAATTATAGTTTTTTATCTTTCCCAATGCAATGTTTTGTTACTCAAATGTGCACTATTGCTATAATTTTGTTCCTGATGCATGTTAGTGGCTGTGCCAGAAAAGCCAGCTGCCTCGCTGCCCAGTCAGTCAGTGACTATGAAACCCCCTCATATGGAAACTGGTTTCAGACAACCATAGCGTCATGTAAAATGATCTGGAACACATTCACGTGAGCTTAGGAAATAACCAAGAATGAGAATTGTCCGTTAGATTTCCCATTCATCTCAATGAAGCATGTAAATGTTATTGCCAAAATGAATTTATAAAATATATATTTCGTCAGAATACACAGATACATGAGAATGACCATCGATGGTGAAACTGGTGAATCTAGTGGCAGGGCTAACTGCTTAAAGGGATAGTTCACTTTGAAATTAATTTTTGATATGTTTTAGCTTACCTCAAGGGCATCCAAAATGTAGGTGTCTTTGTTTCCACAGTATTTTCAATTTTAATATTTTTAGGTCAAACTGTTCTTGTCTGTCAGTCATATAATGGAGGTTTAGGGGCTCCTCCCTTGGTTCACCTCAAAGAGCATGCACAGAGAAGTCCAAATTAAACATGATTTAATGACTCGTAAAAGCAAGTACACATTGATGGCCTAGTGTATCGTGCAAGTGTATAGTTGTGTAATGTATTCCAGCCTTTAGTAGACATTGGATTTGGACGCAATGTCTTCATACCTCAATTTAATGATACACAGCATTTTTCCTGTCAGCACAGTCAAGTATTTATAAGCTTCACTAATGCTTTCAATAATCTCTTGCAATGAGGATTTGGTAGAAGGAATTCTTTCTCCCTCAGGCTGCGAGTCTAGTGTCCACAAACAGCTGGTCAGTCTTTTATTAAGGGGATATAAACACACTCACAGGACACAGGCAAGAGAGCTAAAAATTCAATTCTGTATTTCTCCTCTTTTCTAGTCAAGTCTGCTCCCTATCCTAATAACCCAATTGTAAATTACACTGGCTCTTTGAAAAATGGTTTTAGTTCCTCTTTTTTAAGTCACTTTGGATAAAAGTGTCCGCTAAATGCATTGATGTAAATGAACTTTTTTATGACTAATCTCGTCAAAAGGCATAATCTGTGTTTGAATTTTAATTTTTTTATTGACACGTCTGAAATATTATTCTAAATACAAGTTGTGTGCTCTCTTAACACGACAGAAAATTGTGAATTCAGAACATTTTGTTCCAATTTAGAAGGCCCTCACAGAATCTAAATGCAATGATTTGTTGGCAGATTTCCATAAAAGCATAGTATTCATAGTGCCATTTAACACATTTGATCTTGTATTCAATTTGGAGATGTCTGAAAATCACAAGGTTTTGAATGACAAGAACAGCCAAATGATAAAAGTGAACTTTAGTACAGACACTGAAGTCTTTTGGTGATGCAAACCTTGTTGTGTTGCCCAGTGTACTGTATTATATTTACTCTGTCTGAAAACCATAAGCTGCATATGAACATAAACCCATTTCATACATATCCACTCTTTTCTGTTTTTATTTATTTTTTCTCCATCTCCGTCACTGTTATCTCATGTTTGATAAGCTTTGGCTCTTATCTTGATTCCACTCTTTTCTTTTCTTTTTTCTCATATCTCTTCATCAGTGTCTTGTATCT